TTGAAGTATAGGGATCGCAACCTCATCGTCCCGTGGACTGCTCTTGCCAAAGTTCTCAAGGTAAGAGCGCCGAGAACGCTGGCATATTCCCCAGCTGTTCCAGATTATGCTCAAACGAACTGTGTGCCGCAGGAGTATGCCAAGGTCGAGGCCGGCGGCGGCATGGCAGCTTACCGGAGGCGCCTCAATGCTGGTGAGACGGTCCACTTCGTAGCATAGGCTCTGTGAGAGACAGAGGAAAAGAGAGACATGTATGCATCATGTTTTGTTGTATCAGTCGATGATTTTCGATACCGATTTCCCGCATGCATTGCGTTGCTCATCGCCCGCTGCGCCATGACCAGCCTGTGATTGTAATGGCGTACATTGCGTATGCATTGCGTTGCTTCCTGCCATCCCCTGCGATGGAGGCTGCCAGAAACGGAGGCTGCGCACATGGCGTGCGCGCCAGGCAGCCTGGCCTGGACAAATGATGGCCGCGCACCTGCCGCGCAGCTGGGCCAGCTGGGCCGCCCACGACTGCCGCGCAGGGGTTTAGTGCCAGTGGCTGCTGGATTGCAGCGCTTGCTGCATAAACCGCCAATATTTACAACTGACGTTACACTCAATATGGGAAGTGAATGCTCAGGCCCACCGGGTGAGTAACTGAGAGGAGCAGAGTCGTATGCATCAAGGCGAAGAGATGAGAGAGGGGGTAAATTGGGGAAGTGACGGGGTGTGGGAGACTTGTTTGCAATTGTGTTAACGGTGCCTGTGCTGCATCCGATCCAGCTCAGCAGTCTGCGACAAAAGCAACGCCCTCGTCGCCGGTTTGAATCTCATGCTTGCTTGCTTGTGTGGGCTTAAAGTCTGGTAAAGCAAGAACTAGCTCATCAGGTTGAGATCTGTGGCCGGATCATTCCGTCGCATCCACCAGCCCTGAGGATCCCATTCTTCCTCGACCATTTGGGTCACATTCAGGGGCCTGGGAAGATGGCAAAATGATGCGTCATCATTTGCCAGGGCAATATTGGACACTGGGAATACATCTCACGCTACTGGAATTACCGTGAAAAAAACAAGCACGAATAAACATACCTGTCAAACTCGGTATGAGAAAATGACTGCAGTTTCACCCGAATGTTCTCGGGGCTGAAGAAGTACGTGGCATGGATGCCAGCGTCCTCGATTTCTACCAAGTTCTGCTGGGTGGCATGCAGTGTTTGCACAACTTGAGCTCAACATTGCAGAAAACTAACCACTGCCCTGAATCCTCCCACCGCTGGGCAGCTGTCGGTTTTGAAATCAGACCTAATACTCTGAAAAGAGCATGTATCCTTTGCAGAATAGCGAAACAGTTTGGCTCTGTCTCTCAGAATCTTGAACATATCCTGCACTTGAAAACGCTAAGCGGGGCACTTGTCAACTGGACGTATGCCCTCTAAATCTAGCTGCGTGTCTTCCATATTTGTGCAACGCAGCTCACCTTCAGCAAAATGTGAGAGAGAGAGGCTGTACCCCTGTATGTGCAGATCGACCACGGGGATGGCCACATCGTTTGCAGACAACCCGTTTACTGGGATGTTTCTGGCGGTCAGGAGAGCCGCTGCGGTGGGCAGCTCGTCGGTGTCGCTCTGAAAAATGATGTCACTGGGCTGGATATCCAGCTTGTCTGCCACTTGATGGAATGCCAGCTGCAGCGTACCGATGACAATGTTTTGCAACGTTAACAACACATGGTTGCTGGCTTTGAGCTGACTTGGCTCACCCTGCTTTGAAACTCGCGATGCCATGCCGCAACCTCCATATCCGGGTCGGTCGTATCTCGCTCGATCACAATGTGCACTATCTTGCTGGCAAATAACTCAAAACGGCGACATATGGCATCTTGGAAGTGCAATGGTTTGGGGTCCCCACGGAAGGTGAACGGCGCCTCTATGATGACGAACACGTCTGCAAGCATTGTGTGATGCACATGGTGAGTGATGCATGCAGCTTTGGGGAATCGCTATTGCGAATTACCCACGAAATCTTATGCCTCCAGGAAACGGGCGTGCAGCAAGTCCTCCTCATTGTTATATATCAAAAGGGAGATCAACTACAACATGCATAGTGCATTAGTTGGCGGTCTCCGATGTGAGATGCCCCGAGAAGCTCACCCACCTTGCCGTCTCTGGAGTTTTATGGAAGTGCTGCTGACGTTCTCACATTGTGTGTGAGTGACAGAAGTAGTATTGCCAGCAACAACTACACTGGTGTATGCACGGTTGGTGTGCAATGCTTGTTCGACAATCCCAACGCATTTGCCAAATGGGTTGGAGAACAGAAGAGCTGCAACGACAATGATGAATATAACACTTGTGGGAATCACTCCCCTTCTACTGGGAATCACAATCTTCCGCATTTTCAGAACATATATATAAAAAATGCTGCCAAATCACATCACCAAAGATATCACAATCCGCCCCTCCGTCGTGCAGAAGCAAGAAAATGGGCGGATTGAAATGTTTTGCTTTCTAGCCATTGATGTTACATCAAATGAACAAATCCGGTTCAACAAGTTGTTTAATGATATTGGTACTCCTGGATTCGTATTGCTGTCCCCATTCTCAACTGATTTTCACCCATGTATTGCTTTCAAAGCCCGTGGATCCATGGCCAGCGCAATGTCATCAAACTGGATGCAAACTCTGATGTAGAGCTGGAAAAGGCTATAGATGAATTCAAACTGGTGAGGAAGGGATGGGTCATGGTGGTGCGACTGGCCGAGCGGAGGTGGCGGCTTGCCAGTGGTGGCGGCGGGCGGCGGCAAAGGCGGCGAGGCGGCACGGTTTCTGGCGGAGGAAGCGGTGGGAGGATGGGGCTCAGCAAACAGGACAGGAAAGTTGAGGCGCAGCGGGGCGTAAAGGGGGCAGGTGAGCAGCATGTGGGGGGCATCTTCAAACGGAGCTGGCAGTGTGTAAGGCTGGCGAACTGGATGCATATTGTGATGAGGGTGGGGGACGGGGTGGCCACGAGGCCTAGTAGGTGGGGCGAGTCAGGGGGTGACAGACCTAGCGGCCGATTGAGCCATTCACCGATTGAGCTACTGGGCAACGAGCAATTGAGGTCTACTACGGCAGAGAGGTACCCCTGCTTGCAGCCACTGTTCCTCTCGGCACCTCTTTTAACCCAGCAATAATACTCGTTGCAGGTCCATCTCAACGCGTCATTCCAATTATGCTATTTAGGGATACCCAAAACCCTATTTCACCCTGGCTATGTAGGGCTTGCATTCAGACTGTAAACAAAAAACAAAACAATCGCAATGCCTAGCACCACGAATCTTCGATGCAGTGTGTGACGTGCCCATGATGTGTGGAGCTAAAACGGGACAGATGGTGCTCAGCCTCGGTGTCGTTGATGCCCGCCACAATGCCACCACATAGCAGAACATTTTCATCTCCAAGTGTGGCATGCTCGTACCTGCGGGATAGAGACGTGCACGGGATCCCAGTATCAGAACACATGCATCACCAAGTGTTAAGGGACACTCGCAGAAATCAGTGCGTCGATGATGTTCCAATACTCACGTCCAATCTGTAAACTTGTGCACCTGCTCCTCTGGCAGAAACAGCATCACGGCTACCGTCTGGATTGGGGCATCACCCCACCGGTGGGTGTAGATGCCACCCGTCCGGTCAACATGCTCCAGGAAGCGCCGCATGTCGGGGCGGTGCCACAAGGAGACATTTGTTAAGAAGAAGTTGTTGTAGAATGTAAAGTGATTCCAATCTTGCGACAGTCCCTCAAGGCTGGGGGGTGTGCAATGAGACAGCAGCGCGGAGGGGTAGGGGTCCCTGAAGAACATCGCCAGGTGGGAGCGCACAATTTGCTGGAATCCTACAGCGTAATGCTTATCCTCATGGGTATCCACCCTGTAGGCGTACTGCAAGCCACGTCCCTCCATAAATTCAACGAGGTCATAGGGTATATGGCTATGGATGAAGGAGTCCTCGTCCAACCGCATCACCCACTCATACCCGGCCTCAGCCATGAAGCTCCAGATGTGTAGAGCGAACCAGCGGATCTGCATGCCATCAAACAAGGTGCAGCGATGAAACACTTGGAAGGTACACCACTGTGTGGGCAAGTTGCGCAGCGTGGACGACTGAAATTGCGCAGCGTACCATGTGGCGGTATCCAACTGCAAACTTGGGATATAGCCAGGTGCCCACGTCACTTTCATTCAGGAAGGCGGGTAGGCTCCAGTAGCGCGTGGTCATCTCAATAAAGTGCACGTGGGGGCGGCCCGCGGTCAGCTGTGCCTGGTCGGCCGCAGTAAAGTCGCCTTTTCGGAAGGACATGGCGAAGGAAACATTATGAACAAACATGGGTGTCAAAAGTCCGCCATCACCGCACCGGCATTCACATGCTCTACTCACCCTCATGCATCACCAACACGTCGGCCTGAGTAGGTCCTGCGAGGACGTTCTGGTGCAACAGCTCCAGGCTGCGTTCTAAATTGGACATGCTGTCATGGCCGTATGACGAGTGCGTCTTACGGCACAGGTAGGCGATGGCCAATCGGTGATGTGCCTTCCACGCATTGTTAGATGGCTCCTTCTCGCCGCTGTTCTTTTCGCCGCAGCATTGACAACTATTTGAGCGGTAGTGCGCCACAGATATGCCAACCACAAGGAACATCAAATATACCGCCAGCCAGGATAAGCTAGGGGATCTGGTGGACTTGCGCATAATGCGAACCTTTAGAGCCTGAAAATTGCAGCTTGCAGCATTCTGGGCGCTTGCAGCATTCTTGCACCTTCCAGGTGGGCCGTCAACCCACCCGACGCTGACTCAGCATCATATTCAACATGACTTTCAAGAAGAAAGGAGGGCGTTTGCTTTATAGAAAAGAAAGCAACGAATTTGCAGAAAGTCAAACGAATTTGCAATGGATTAGCCGTGCATGGTTGAAACATGCAGGCGGGCGCCATGCGTGATGCACAAGATTAGTTTTACAAAGTGGAGTCACATGCACACATTACTGCGAAGGTCCCTGGGGGGTTGCAACTACTGAGGACCACGGTTGCCATTAGGGCCTTGGCTGTCACTCCGTTTTCCTCCTCCAACGGCCTTGCCGGCGCCAGTGACGATCGCAAATGACCTCCTGCGCGTTTGGGGGGCGCAGCCCAGCGCCTGCGCGCTGCTGCGCTGGTGCTGCGCCGTGCCCAGCAGCACACCCGCATACATCGGCCCTACCCGCTGGTTTGGAAAATTCTGGGCCGTGTGCTTTGGGGTTGTCTGGACACTTTTGTTTTACTCCTGCTCTTTTCACAAATGTCGTTGTATATATATAGCCCCGCTTCATTCACATGTAAATGCAACTGCCACAGTCTAGGACAGCAGGATGCCCTCAGAGCGAATCTCAAAGCGGATGACAGCAGGGTCCTCTGGCGCATGCCACTTGGCCAGCCGCACCACACCCGCTCTGCCTCCTCCCCCACTGTTGCTGCTCCTGCTACCGCCATCTGAGCGCAGCAGCAGCCGGTGCGTCACCAGGTCCTGCCAGGGCTTCATCATGGGATCGCGGTGTGCCCAGCCATCCTTGTCTGCCTCCCTGCCACCTGCAGGCAGCGGCAGGCAAGAGGCAAGGCATGCTGATGGCAACAAAACACACGGCGGGCAGTGCAGGCACCATGCCAGCATCATGCCACGCGTTCCCACCGCTTCCCACCTGGCAGCACCAGGTGCTTGGAGGCGATGATTGGCAAGCGGTAGCGCCGCTGCAGCGCCCGAAGCTCGGCAGCCAGCGCAGCATGCACGCGGAAGAGGGTGAGGGGCGCCCCCTCTCGCGCCAGGTCTGGCACGCCACCAAACAAGCTGCTCGCCGCCCCGATGCCACCTGCTAGGCATGCCGCATGGCGAAGAGGGCAGTCGTGCGATATGGGCAGGGCAGGCAGGAGCTGTATACTACATAGCAGCAGCTGCAGCAGCATCGCTCGAAGCAGCAACACCAGAAGCAAAGCCGAACCGGCAACACAGAACAGTTCTCCCCTCCGGCAGCGCTCAGCGCCGCGCACCCGACGGCGGGCCCCGCGCTGATCTGTCGAGGTAGTAGTGGGTGGCCACATTGTCCAGCAGCAGGCATGCCAGACCACCGGGCGCCGCCGCCAGGGCATCAAGGGTAGGCTGTGCAGAACACAACGCCGCCAGCATCTCGAAACTGCCGTGGCAGCGCACCTACGGGGGTGAATAGGATTCGCGTGCGGCACGATTTCTGGGCGAGAGCGAGCAAGCCGCTGCCGCTGTTGTTGCATGCTGCGGCAGGGCACCATCATGATGGCAGGTGCTGCTGCTGATGGGTCTGCTTCCTCTCCCAGCGCAGCCACGCACCAAGTGGAAGCGGCTCAAGCAGTCTGCCAGCACGGGCATCGTGTCTGGCTCCAGCACCCCCGCCGCCTGCTGCGCCGCAAAGATGCGTGTGTCCAGCATCTGTGCGCAGGGGTGGGCGGGGCAGACAGGCACGGCGGGGTGTGGGATCAACCGGCCAGACTGCGCCCAAAGCACCTCATGGGGCATCACTGCAAGCAGCCGCCAGAGAAAAGCATCACCTCCAGCAGCCGCACTAGGTCCAGCTTGGCATCCAAATCCAAGAACAGCACGCCCGCTGCAGGCGGGCAGGGGATGGCGGAAGATGGCAGCCAGGGACAAGACTGGCCTGCCTGGTCCCAGGCAGCCCGCACTCCGCTGCCCTCTTGTATTGCCATGCGCATACACGTACCGCCCTTGCCGCCGAACGTCACGCCGCCAGCCACCTGCGGCAGGATGCATGTGGCTGCCACCTGCAGCAGCGCGGTGGTGCGCCCGGCGCCCGCCGCCGAGGCAACCTCAAGCACCTGCCCGCCTCGAAAGGCGAGGAATCGATCGATGAGCGGCAGGCCGGTGTGCAGCGGCTCCACATAAGTCCGAGCCAGCAGCTGCCCCGCTGTCTCGTCGGGCTGCAGGAAGCGGCGCGCCTCCTCCTCGGCATCGGAGCCCTCATTTACCCCCTCCATTGCTCCTTTGGGGCGCCAGCGGCGGCAGCAGGCGGTGGCGAGGCGGATGTGTGTCGGGGGGCCTGCTTTCCGGCTGCTTGCTGCGTTGAAAGGCGGCGCTGGCTCAGCTGGGATAAATGTTAAGCCCGGGAGGCGCGCAGAGGGAGGGCGCAGAGGGAGCTCGCGATCAGCGGCGATGAGGTTTGGGAGCGGTCGCTCGAAAACTGGGTTGGATTGGACGGTACACTAGTGGGGATCGCTCAACGGGGCCTCAGGTGATGCATGAAACACCTTGGTCCAGTCAGCGCCCCGCATGGCGTCGGCGGCGGTGCAGTGTGGCAATGCAACAGGGCTGTCCTGTGCTGTGGCTGGGGCTCTTGTGCCATTCCCCGTCGCTGCAGCTCTAGAAGCGAGTCTTCGTGGGCATTCACTGTGTGCACCACACACCACCACCACCACACCACCACCACCACAACACATCACCATGGCATGCAACCTCTTTTGACCTGGCCAGCGCAGTCACCGCCACTGCTGCGCCAGTGTGCTCATACCCTTTTGCGCATGCCCCATCTCATTCGGCCCTCTGACAAGAGCAGCCCCCCGGCAGCGGCGGCGGCGGCGGCGGCGGCGGGAAAGAGCCGATAGCAGGCTGGCTGACGGCTGGCGGCAGACTCGCACTGCTGCCATCCACAGGCATCGCCAGGCAGGTGCCAGGCTTTGGGCGGCAAGCCTGCGTCGATGACTCTAAATATGATGACTCTCATATGGGGTTCCTTTCGTGCCCAAAATGCCTGCGGGTCTAGGCTGAGATTGCCGACGAGCCTGTGCAGCCTGAAAATGCTAGCACATTGCACCACCCCGGCCCGCAGTGCTGCCCGGTGCCCCGGTCACGTCCCCGATGGGGGAGAATTTGGTTTCAGGGCGGGCACGGGCAGCACAGCATTCGCTGCGCAGGGTGGTCGTCCTCATCCCTCCCTGCTCAGACCTCATCTGACCTGTCACTGACTGCGAGGTCCGGCGTCAGGCGGGAAGGGCGATGCCCTCTCCCCAATCGCGGTTGAATTCAATTCTCTCAATTCCCTCCATCCCCGCCCCCTCATCGCACGATGGAGGGCAGCCTGGGGGCTTCCCTCGCTAAGGACGATGTGCTCGCCCTGGGTTGTGCCCTCTCTCAACAGCAGGGCCTGTCCCTTAGCGCCTTTTACGATTGGCAGGACCCCAAGCAGGGCCCCCAGCAGCGAGACCTGCTGTCCATGGCTGCCGCGGCGGGCGCCCAGGCCTGTGTGGCCGCGCTGCTGGCCGCCGGCGCCGAGCCCAACGCCCCTAGCCCCTCAGATGGCAACACGGCGCTGCACTGCGCCTGCAGCAGCGCCAACAGCAGCACAGCGAGGGTCATCACGCTGCTGGTGTGTGGGGGCGCGGACAAGATGCTCCGCAACCACGCAGGGCTCACCGCCTGCGACCTGCTGAGCCAGGAGACGTCACAGGTGGGAGCCGGGATTGGCAGGGGGGCGGGCAGCGCCCCAGGGCACCGCGCACGCTGTTTCCCGCCACGTCCCTGCCGCCGCCGCCGCACTGCCGCCGGGACCCTCGCCCACTCCTCTACCTGCGCCCCGCCCCCTCCTGACGCCCCAGCGCCGCCGCCGCCGCCTCCCCATGCCGCAGCCTGCCTGCGCAGAGGCGCCGCCGCCAGAGGACAGCGACCTGCTGCGCCCCGAGTACAGCACCGACGCCTTCCGCATGTTCTCCTTCAAAATCGACTGCTGCCCCCGCCTGGCCGAGTCCCACGATTGGACGCTGTGCCCATTTCAGCACCCAGGTGCGGCCGCGCGTGCCGCGGGGCTCGGGGGCTGGGCCGGCCGCAGGGCTTTTGCGCGGTACGGCGCGCGCACGGGAGCGGCGGCGCCGCGAGGATAAGGTGCCGCCCCAGGGCCTCAACCCCCGCCGCACTCCCCCCGGCTGCTTGCTGCGCTGCAGGCGAGAAGGCACGGCGGCGGGACCCTCGCTGCTACACGTACCACGGCGTGCCCTGCCCCGATTTCCGCAAGGTGAGGCGCTGAGGCGGCAGCCGGCAACACGCCGCCCTGGGCGGCAGCCCCATGCCGCCGCCCGCCGATGCCCGCCCGCGTGCGCAGCCAACCGCCGCGAATGCCTGCCGCTCGCTGCCTGCGCCCCTAGCCCCGCCTGGCTCGCTGCCGTGTGCCGCGTCGTCGTCGCCGGGCTGGGACTAGGGCTTTTGCCTGCTGCCGCGGTTTCCCCCCCTGCCGCGTCCGTTTGAACGCGCCGTGCCTGCTCCACTCCCCGCCACACATCCGCCCGCAGGGCACCTGCAAGCGTGGCGACGCCTGCACCTATGCGCACGGCGTGTTTGAGTGCTGGCTGCACCCCAGCCGCTACCGCACGCAGCTGTGCAAGGAGGGCGCCGCCTGCCGCCGCAGCGTCTGCTTTTTCGCCCACTCTGTCGAGCAGCTGCGGGAGCCCACCATGCTCATGAAGACCGGTGGGTTGCCTGCTCCCGCCTCGCCAGCTGCCCGGCTGGCTGGCTCCGGCCGGCTCTGGTTTCCGGGTCGCCTGGCACGCTCCCCTGCCTGCCGCCTGCTCCCTGCTGCGTGCGCAGCCTGCTGGGGTGGCGGCCTGCCTGGGCAGCGCTGCCCTTCACTCTCCCACACACGCTGGCCTGCCCACGCCTGCCTGCCTGCCTGCCCACCCATCCATCCATGCTGCAGAGTCGCCCGAGCCGAGCTCCCCCCGCGGCACGCTGCTTCCGGCCGAGGAGAGCCAGGACACGCCGCGCTCATGGTCGCCCACGCCCGCCACCAGCGAGGACAGCGTCAAGATGCTGGGCTGCTCGGCGGGTGAGGCGCGGCCCGGTGCACGCGCACCAGGCGCTGGCGTTCCGCCGTGCCTGCTGTGCCGCGTTGCCGCCCCTTCTCTCGCGGCCGGCACGGCTGGGTGCCCTGCTCCGCCTTGAGGCACATTGCGGCGGCTACACCTCCCTCTCCTTGTTCCAATCGCCGAACCATCCGTGCCCTCCCTGGCCCCCCACCGCGCCTGCAGACTCCCTGCCCCGGGGCTGCCTGCTGGTGCCTCAGGCGCAGCAGCAGCACCACCACGCCATGATGGCCGCCGCCGCCGCCCCGGCGGACAGTGGAGTGAGCAGCCTGAGCAGCACGCCGGCCCTGGAGAGCGCGCTGTCTGCCTCCTTTGGCTCCGACTCTGTGCTGCAGCGCACCCTCTCCTCCCTCTCCCTGTCTTCTGAGGATATGAGCCAGGTGCGGCTGCCCGACAGCTGCCCGGGGAGAGAAGCCAGCGGCCCTGCAGATGCATGCCAGCTCTTTCCTGTGCTGGCAATCTGCCGATTGGGCTCGAGTGTGGCTTGGGTCGGCTGGCTGTGCCCGACCTCGGTACCTGCCTGCCCCGCCGCAGGTGGTGGCGTTCCAGCAGGCGGCGGGCGGCATGCCCGCGCACGCGGCCCTGCTGGCGGCCAGTGCCGCCGCGCACTGGCCGCTGCAGGGCGAGGCGCTGGGCGCGATCCTGGCTGGCGCGGGCGGCTGTGCCCCGCTGGCCGCGGGGCTGCACAGCATGCTGCTGCCGGACGCCAGCGCGGTGCAGGCCGCCGTGCAGGCAGCGGCCGCGCAGCACCAGCTGGCGATGCTGCAGGTGGGAGCGGCGCCGGGGCGCGCGCCTGCCTGCCTGCACGCTGCTGCCAGCTGCTGGCCGGTCACGGCGGTGGCATGGCCGGGAGCCAGCGTGCAGCAGCCTTACAGTGCGTGCCTCAGCTGCTGACGCATGCAGTCACACCAGCACACCCTTGGCCGCTGCCCTTTTCCTCCTGCAGGCTCAGGCCGGCGACCCCGCGGGCCTGCTGGCGGCCGCGGCGGGTGCGCGCCAGCCGCTGCACCCGCTGCCCATCAACCTGGGCCACTTCCACTACCACCACCAGCCCGCCGCCCTCCCCTCCTGCCTTGGCCTGGGGCTGTAAGGTGGGCGGCACGCCGTGGCCCCTCGTCATCCTTCTGGTGGGGCCGCCGCCGACCACCCACGTGTAGCCCGTTTTCCCGCACTCGGACCAAGCCCGGCTCCCCGTTTTCCGAGAGCCTCTCTCACGCAGAACCGCACCAGGATTGCCTGTTCGACACCCAGCCGCTGGTTTTCCATAAGACTGCTCGGAGGGCCCGCACCCTTGCCCTTTTCCATCCTGCACCCTTGCCCTTTTCCGTCCCCCACGTGGCCGCCCGGGCCGACCCCCACAACACTGCACTTCCAACACACCTTGCTCTCATTCCAGCACCCCCTTGACGCTTGTGCAGCCCCGGCTGCTTGCCGCCCTCCATGTTGTGAGGCGTGCATTACACACCCTGCAGCAGCAGCCCCTGCCTTTCGCAGCTCGCTTGCACATTGAGACGATGCGCCTAAGGAGCCCCACCTATCAGCTATTCCTCTTTGCTTGCTGTTTTATGCGAATATCAACGCGTTGCTCTTCTACACGCCAGATGATACCTCGCTTCTTTCCTCTGCAGCGCACGACCGTTTTCCCCGCTGTTGTGTTATTTCCGGGCGCTTGCCGCCGAGCGCCCCGCCGTGCTAATACTGAAGTGTGCCGCTGCTGCCGCCGCTGCCTGCGGCCCATCTGCTGCCCCTGCACGCCCACCCCATATTGACGGCGCACGCAGCATGGGCTGGGCGGCAGCAGTCCACGCTCCCCCTTCTTGCCCCTGTCCCCCGCCAACACCCCCGCCGAGCCTTGTTCAACCCTTAGTTCCTCTTTTCCCTAGTTTTTCAAATGAATGGGACCCCGAGTTCTGATCGACCAAAAGAATGCCCTAGAACAAAAAGCTTAGGAGGTTCGCTCCCCTGTACTGTTGTAGCGCCGCCGGCCCCATGGCCGCGCAGCCCCCTCCCAGAAGGGATGTTTACACACGGTGGCCCCGGGGCCGCCGCCCTTTGCGGCGCCCTCCCACACCCTGCACTACGCTGCAGTTTGTGTACCTGCTGACTGTAGCCCGCATGACACCTGCCCCTGCACCGAACTGTCAGCCCGCGCCGCCTGGCCGGCCTTTCTGCCAGGCGGCGCTCGCCCACCATGCCCCGCCTCCTTTTCATGTCCTTTCGTGCCCGCCACGCCCCCTGCCGCCCCGATAGTGCACAGTGACTCCTTGGTGCTGGGACGATGCAGCAGACTTCCTGCCGCCCCCAACACACCCCACCCTCCTTTCCTGGCCCCATGCCGGGGCCCCGCCTTTTTTGACGCACTTCCTAGCATGTCCAACGCCGATGCACGCCCATGGCCGACGCACGCCCGCACTCCCCAGGCCCCATTCCGACCCTGGCCTTTTCCACCAGAGGCGGCGGGCCGCCGCACGGCACATCCCAGGCCGCGCGGCCCCCCCTTGCCACCCCGCACCCTCGCTGCTGGCCGGCCCGATTTTATTGCTCAGGCAGATCCAGGCACCACGATTTGTGTTCCCAGCGATGGGCAGGCGGCGGCGCGTGTTGCGCCGCCGCCCCCCGGGCACCGCCCCCTTTCATCTCGAATTTAGCGCACTTACCTGACAGCTCGCTTGCCTACCAGGTCATTCTAGTCGCCTTTTTACGCAGTGAACTTGTGCCGAACTGACAACCGTTTGTTTGTTTTCCCTCGTGCTCCCCCCGCCTGCTCCCTCTTGACCGCTGATCCCTCCGCTGATTGTCCCCTCTCTACTTTGCTGCCCGTCATGTGACACACGTGAATGACCACTGAGGCTTACAGGGGAGCAGGGAAGAGGCGAGCAGAGGAACAGAGGGAACGAGGATGCAGCAAGGGAACAGGGGCAGCAAAGGGAGGAGCGGGTTGGGGGCTGGGGGCTGGGCCAATGCCTCCCCTCTCGGCTCACTTCTTCTTCCGCTCCTTGGGTAGCTTCATGTCGGGCGTGACTTCCTCCACGAGGCCTCCCAAATGGTCCTCCCCAATCTTCATTTCTGCGCAGGCAGGGTGGGGCCGGCAGCGGTGCGGAGCAGTGAGCAGGATGCACAGGTACGGTGCTGGCGGCAGCAGGCGGCGCCTCCCGGTGGCTGGCACCCACCAAAGGCCCCCCGCTCGTTGCTGGCTGCCTGCACGATGCTGGTGCGGATGAAGTCGGCTGCCTCGCTGCCCTCCTGCAGGAGCTGCTGCCGCTGCGCGGGGTCGCTCACATGCCGCGACTCCTGCAGGCGTGGGCCGGCAGGATGGCGTGAGCGGCGGCAGGCAGGGTGGCGGCGGACGGTGTTGGCAGGGCCGGCAGGGTCTGCCGCACCTCGAACTTTGCTCTGATCTCCTGCTGGGCCGCCGAGAGCATGGTGGCATCGCCCTTGAAGGCTGCCGACGCGCTGCGGAGCAGACCTCGATATACATTCAGGGCGGGAGCGCTCATGGCGTCTGCAACTTCCCTGGGACCATGTGCGACTGTCCAGCGGAAGGGAGCTTCAGATTATAGGAAGGGGCCTAGCTGGCAAAATCCGACGTGGACGTTGAGAAAAGGCAAGAGCAGAGGCTTCGATATGTCCAATTCGATCGAGAGCAGTCGCTGCTCTCGATGGGCGCGTTGACGCGGTGCTGACAGCCGGCTGGGAGTCTGGTCAAACCCCTAGGAGCCCTGCCTTGGATCGGCTGACCCTCCGACAGCCCCCCAGCCGCTATCGAAGCAACCGAAGGCAGCGAACTGCGCGCTACCTGCGCCCACCGCCAGCGGCCGCCGCCCGACACCCGCCACCCGTCCCACCGCCGCCGCCTACTGTTGGCCAGGACATCGATGGACCCAACCACTGGCACCCTGCGCCGCGCGCCGGCCCAGGACCTGGGCGATTCGCTGCGCTCACCCTCCGTGCAGAAATTTCTGGGCCGCGACTTTGGTGCTGGCAGCCCGCAGCAGCCGCCGCCTCTCCGGCACAAGGATGGAGCTCTGCCCGGTGGCCTGTACTCCAGCGAAGGGGGCATTGCTGCCTATCAGCCCGCGGCCCCGCCACCCACGATGGGCGACTCACTGGCAGCCGACTACCGCTCCCAGCTGCAGCAGTACGCTCAGCAGCTGGCTGCCAAGAGCGGCGAGGCGGCGGCGCTGCGCCAGCAGGCCGCCGAGCTCAAGCAGCAGCTGGCAGCGGCCGAGGCGCGCGCCAGCCACGCTGGCCAGCAGGTGGCACGCAACGCCAGCGCCGCGGGCCAGCTGGAGGCAGCGACCGCAGCTCTGGAAAGCGCGCTGCAGGAGCGCGAGGCGGAGGTGCAGGCCGCAGCGCAGGCCAAGCGTGCCGCGGAGCAGGCAGCAGCCGCCGCTCGTGCCCAGGCGGCCGCCGCCCTAAAGTCTGTGGCTGCCAAGGCGGCAGAGCACGAGCAGGACCGGCGCTTCTTCAAGGAGCAGCTGGAGGCCAAGGATTCAGAGCTGCACAGGTAAGTGGCGGCCCCTCTCGGGCTGTCTTGATGGCCTCTGGCCACGCTGTTTGGCGGCAGCTCAGCTGCAACCTGCTCGGCGTCGCCACCTGCCTCGGCCCACCACCTCGAAACCTGCCCTCCCACCCTCCTGCGGACCCCTGCAGCCTGGAGGACGTGCTGCGCAAGCAGGCCGCGGAGCTGGAGCGCCAGTCGCGCGAGTGGGTGGCGCGAGAGGCAGAGGTGTCTGCCGGGCGCAGCCGCTCGGCGGGCGCGGCCGCGGGCACCGCCGCCGAGCTGGCGGTGGCGCANGGCAAGGTGGAGGCGGCGGCCAAGCGGGTGCGGGCGCTGGAGGGCGAGAATGGGGAGCTGCGCAGGCAGCGGGCGCAGGGCGCGGCGGACCAGCGGATGCTGGAGGAGCTGCTGGGCGACAGCGAGGCGGAGCGCAGCTGGGGTCGGAGCCGGGAGGCTGGAGGCTGCACGTTGGGGTGTTGGTTTGGTATTGAACTGGGGCGGCGATGATGGAATAGAGGGAAGGAAGCCCCGGGCAGGGCGCCGCTTTGAGCAGCCGCAGACAAGCCGCCGTGCGCAGCCGAGCCGAGCTGGTGCCTGCTCTCCTCCTGACCAACCGCTGCCGCTGCCGTGCTGCTGCTGCGCCCGTCCCACTCCCCGTCCACCCACCCTCCCTCTCCTCCAGGGAGCTGCACGACAAGTATGTGCGGCTGGGTGAGAAGCTGGAGGGTCTGATCAAGGAGGGCAAGCTGCTGAAGAGCTCCGCCAGCGCCGAGGCGGGGGCGTCGCGCACCGCCGTGCAGGTGCGTGCTGCCACCTGCCACCTTGCCAGGCCGGGTGTCTTACTTCAGTTTAACAGCAGTGCGATTGGGCAGAGCGGCATTTCGCAGGCAATCCCCTGCCGTGTTCTGCTCGCCACGGCTGCCCCCCACCTTGCCTGCGCCTGCAGGAGGCGCTCAAGGATGCTGAGGCAGCGTTGAAGGAGCGGGCGGGCCTCAAGGCGCAGGCGCACCAGCTGCAGATGAGGCTGGAGGAGGAGCAGGGGCGGCGCGCCCAGCTGAAGGAGTCGGCGCAGCGCAAGCTGGCGGCGGCGGAGCAGGAGGTGGGCTGTGGCTGGCTGGCTGGCTGGCTGGTCCTGCGCCCGGAAAGGTTGCAGCGGTGCTGGTCCTGCTGCTGGCTTCCAAGGCTGCAACTACAGGAGTGGTGGGCCTACCGCTCAGAGCAACAGCAGCGGGCCGCGGCACAGCCCCGACCCCTGCACTCCTTTGGGATCCCACATGCCCTCCATCGCTGGCCCCGGCCCCGCAGGTAGCTGCGCTGCGCGGCGATATGGAGGGCAAGGCTCGCCAGCTGCAGGGCTTGCAGGCAGACATGAAGGCTCTGCAGGCGGACGCAGAGAGCCGGCTGGGGGCGTGCGAGAAGCAGCTGGCTGCGTGCCAGGACCGGGTGGTAGCGCTGAAGCAGGAGGCGGAGGCGGAGCGGCAGCGGGCCAGCAAGGCGAGCCGCAGTGACTGCAGTTTGCCTGCTGGGCCTGCACCGTCTTGGCCGTCTCTGCCCGCCGATGCAAGTGTGGCTGCATGCTGATGCGTTGTGCTCCTGCGCCCCGCTGCCCTGCTTCCTTCACCCCTGCATTCCCGGCTTGCTCCCCGCTGCCAGGCCGCCGCCGTTGCCGAGGAGCTGCACGGCGAGCGGCTGCGGCTGGAGCTGCAGCAGCAGGCGCTGCGCTATGAGCGGCGCATCCAGGAGCTGGAGGCCCACGCCGTGCAGGGAGGCGGTGGTGAGCTGGCAAATGGCAGCTTCTGCGGGCAGCAGGATGTGTGTGTGTGTGTGTGTGTGTGTGGTATCAGTGGAGCGGCGGCAGAGCAGCTGAGCCAGCCATTTCAATGGAAGGAAGCAGCTGGCACGAGGACGCCGAGCGGCAGGCGGCACCAACCCACGCCGCCTTCGCCGCACCCCGCTGCTGCTTCCCTTCCGCGCGCAGGCGCCGGGATGCTGCGCCCCGGCAGTCCCGGCGTGCGGGGCAGCGTGCTTGACTACATCCCGCGGGGCGAGCACGTGCGGCTGCTGGAGGCGCGGCTGGCGGCCAAGGAGGGCGACCTGCAGCTGGAGATGAGCAGCAGGGTGGCGCAGGCGAGCGGGGGTGCCTGCCGGCGATGGGATACATTCCAGTTACTCCTGCCAGAGGATGGGCAACCCCAGCCCCAGCCTGCCTGGCATTCTGCAAGAAGGAAGCTGCGGTGCCGGCGGCAGGCGGCCTGGCTGCCTGCCTAACGAGCTCCCGCCGCTGCGCGGACCACTGGGCCGGCCCTGCCTGCAGGCGGAGCGGGAGGCGCAGTGGAAGCTGGAGACAAAGGAGCAGGAGATCGGCAGCCTGACGGCGCGCACCCGCCAGGTCGGCACGGCTGCGGTACCGCACCGTACCGCCCGCCCCCTGCCTTCTCACACATTGGCTGCTCTGCTTGCTCATGCGCCTCACAGCTCGTCATGCGTCGGCACGTCTGCCGTTCCCTCAGCTGAATTGAGAGTTGTATCTGTGAACCCGGTCTGTGTGAACCCAATCTGGGTGGTTGCAGCTGGAGGACGAGCTGCACGGCGAGCGGCAGCGCGCCTCCTCCCAGGCGCACGCGCTGGGCGAGGAGGCCAAGCGCGCGGCGGCGCAGTGCGTGGAGCTGCAGCGGGAGCTGGCGGCGCGCGACAAGGAGGTGACGCGGCTGAAGGTGGGCGCTGGGGGGCTGGCCAGGGTGCCGGCTTGGCGGTACTGGGCCGGCTGGTTGCCGGGCCGGCTCGGCTTGGAGATGCACAGGCTCCCACCTTGGCAGATCTGTCCGAACGGCTGGCCCCTGCCCAAGGTTGTGCGTACTCTGCGCAATGCGTGCCACGCTGTGCGCGATGCTGTGCCTGCTGTGGTCGTGCCACACCAAGCAGGAGACCCTCAAGGACGCCCGCACCGCCACCGCCGACATGGACGACGACGCGATGAGCTCTGGGCGCCAAGTGGCGCGCCTGCGCCACGCGCTGGATGGCTCGCAGGCGGCGTTGAAGGCGGCGCAGGAGGACCTGGCGCAGGCAAGCCACAGGAGCAGCGGCGGCAGCTGGCATCGCTGATCCGGGCAATGCCTTTAGCTTCGGCCGTGGATGCACGAGGCTTGCTCAACCTGAGGGTATGGGGCGGTGCATGTGTTGTGCTGCAGGAACTGAAGCGGTGTGAGGAGGCGCAACGCGAGGCTGCCGCCCACGCCGTGGCCGCGGCGGACGCAGAGCGCCGCGGCGAGCGGCTGGCTGGGGAGGTGTGGGAGCTGGAGGCGGCGCTGGAGCAGAAGCAGGAGCTGGTCGCCGCGCTGCAGGTGCGGGGCATGGGCAGCCAGAAGCGCTGGGGATGCCAGCCGGCTGAGAGAATGGCTGAGTGGCATGCCTGCTGGGCCCGCACAGCTGTTGCCGCTGCCACAAGGCGCCGGTGACGCAAGGTACTGCCTCCGCCGCCGCCGCTGCTGGTCGCTGCTGCTCATGTGCAGGCGGAGTGCGATGCCCTGGGCGCCAAGCTGATGGCTCACCGGGAGGTGCACCAGCAGGAGGTGGAGGGGCAGCGGCGGCAGCTGAGGCAGGAGTGGGAGGCGCAGGTGGGAGGGCAGGCCCTGGGCCAGCTGGATCCTGGTGGGTGCGCCGATCTAGCTGCGGTGACGGCATTTGAGTGCTGCTGTGTGGGACTGATGCTTTGGTACGGCGCCCCGCCCTCTCACTCGGCAGGTGGATGTGCTGGAGCAGCGGTGCCTGGGCGGGGAGGCGCTGCTGCGGCAGGCGCGGCGGGCACACGAGGAGGCGCTGTGCCAGCTGGGGCAGCAGCACGTGGAGCAGGTGGGGCCGCGGGCGGCTGCGCTGTGGTCAGTCTGCCCAGCGCGCAGCATTCCAAGGCACGGCACGGACCCTGGCTCTCTGGCCACCAAGCAATGGCCGGGTCGGGTCTGGTCCCGCCATCAGACGTGGCGGGCCTGGTCCTGCCGGCCATGCCTGCTGCCACCTCCTGCGTGCCTGGGCCTGCACTGCAGGTGGGCCAGCTGGAGTCCCAGCTGGCGGCGGCGGAGCGGTGCAACGCGGAGCTCAAAGAGCTGACGGCGGCGCTGGGGTCGGTGCGGCAGGAGGATGTGGAGGCGCTGAAGGTGGGTGGGCTGGCGCTTGCTGGCAGCGACCTGGCAACGTGCTTGACGTGGTGTGCCGCTGCGAAGGGCATGCTGACAGCTTGCGCCAGCCATGCCGCCAGCTGGCGGTGTGGAGCACTGAGGTGGCGGCTGTGGCAGGCACGCCCAGCGACGGTGGGTGCACTCCTGATGCTCCCCCGGGCTGCAGGACGCTGTGCAGGAGCTGCAGGGGCGGCTGCGGGAGGCGGTACGCGAGCGGGACCGGCTGCAGCGCCAGCACCGCGAGCAGCTGGCGGCGCTGGCTGGCCAGGTGCGGGCCAAGATGGGCGCCCTGCGCGGCCAGCAGGCGCAGCTGAGGCAGAGCACAGAGGCGGATGTGTCGGCCGCCTTTGCAGAGTGCCTGGCCAGCTATGAGGCGGGGCTGGGCGCCTTGCAGCAGCGGCTGGAGCAGCAGACGGCCGCCGCCGACAGCCGGCAGGCTGAGCTGGGCGCCCGGCTGTCTCGACTGGGCGACGGCATGCAGCGGCTGCTGGCCGCGCTTCGGTCCGCGGTGCCGCAGCTGCCAGAAGCCGCGCTGCAGGCGCTGCTGGGCGCCGGTCGGGATGCAGGGGCTGACACAGGCACCCAATTGGAGAGTGCGGTTCAGCAGGTGGCGCAGGCGGTGCAGCAGCATGTGGAGCAGGCTGAGGCCGCTGCCATAGAGTCAGCTCTGGCGGCAGTCGAGGCCGAGGTGCTGCCTGGCGGCAGCAGCGGCGGCTCGCCAGCCTCCCCCTCCCGGCTGCTCTCTCCCCGCAAGCGCCAGCAGGCCGCGGCGGCGGCGGCGGGCGCGGCGGCCGCGGCAGCTGGACCCAGCCTGGAAGCTAACGAGGGGCGGCTGGCGCGGCTGCTGGGGCGCAGCCAGGAGCTGCTGGCTCAGGTGGCGGCGGGGGATGCGCAGGTGGCATGCCTGCGGCAGCAGGTGGCGGCGCTGGAGGCCGCGCTCTCCAGCCACCAGGACAAGTTTGGCCAGGTGGGTGGGACTTGCGGCTGCTGGTCCCACCTGAGCTGGCGCTGTAGCCTGATGTTTGTCTCCAAGAAAGATGGCACGCAATGAGTGCAGTTGCCTCGCACACGTGCTGTGCAGGCCAAGGGCGAGGCCGTCCAGGCTGCCGAGGCGGCTCGCGCGGCGGCGGTGGCGCCCCTGCAGGCAGAGGTGGCGCGCCTGACGGAGCGAGTGGAGGGCCTGCAGCAGCTGCATGCCAGCGAGCTGGCGAGCATTGAGGCCCAGGCCCAGGCCACCATCGGCAGGATGGCGGCAGGCAGCGCCAGCCTGCAGGCGCAGCTGCGGGATGAGGGGGAGCGGGCCGAGGGGCTGGCTGCTGACCTGGCCCGCGCGCAGGTTGGGCGCCGCTGCCTCTTGCCGCTGCTGCTGCTGTTGCCGCCTCGGTTGCCGCCGTCGCTGCTGCCAGTGATGCTGCCGTTGCTGCTGCTGGTAATGCATTCCACGCTTCCCTTGGAGGCAAGCAGTGCTTGGGGGCGAGCCTGGGTGGGCGCCACGCGTGCAGGCTGAGCTGGCGCAGCACACGCAGCGTGCGGCCTCCACCATCGACGTGCAGCACCGCGAGCTGGATCTGCTGAAGGGGCGCATCAGGTGGGTCCCCACCAGCCTCAGCGGGGTGTGCCGGGGAGGCCCTAACTGAGGCCAAAGACTCGCCGCTCGTTGATTTCATGTGTGGAGAGCAGTGGGCTGGAGCGTGTCTCAAGCGTCCGAAGGAGCTGCACAGCCGGATGCCGGGCCCCAGGAGCCTGCCTGCCTGCGCCGCCGCCTGCAGGGAGGTGGAGGCCAGGGATGCCAGCAGCCAGCAGGAGCTGCGTGCGCTCCGGCAGCGGGAGCGGGAGGCCGGCGGCGGCGCGCGGCAGCTGTGAGGAGGGCGCTGCTGGATCGGCCATGGTGTCTGTAGTAACTGTGAATGGCAGCTGGTTACAGCACTGTTATTGGATGCCCACCCTGTGCTGTAAACAGACAAGACGGGGACATGATGCCGCCGGCAAGACAGATAGATTGAATGGAGATGAATCAAACGTGAACAGGTGAATGCGGTGCGCTCGTCACACTGCCCCTATCAGGGCAGTCAGGCTGCCGCCTTTAACGTCTCCGCCACCTCTGCGGCAAAGTCCTTCTGCTCCTGCTCCAGCCCCTCGCCCACTTGCACCCGCAGGAAGCCCGTCAGCCTCAGCTCGCTGCCCACCTGCTTGCCCGTCCGCTTGAGCACGTCTTGCACCTGCAGCCGCCGAGCCGAGGGCAGCGGCAGGCGTGAGGGCACCATCGACACCAGCAGTATCCGATCGGCAACAAGTTCAGGCCTGGGGGCAGCCTTCGTTTTCACCACAGCTGCACAGCTGCAAGGCGCCGGCCTGCTGCACTCCTCGCTCATGCAGCCACCGCCAGCGGCGCTCGCGCTACCCCACAGTACACACGGCACCTCCCCATTCCGCAGACGCGCCCAGCAGCGCTGCCACACCTTGAGGTCCCCATCCATGATGAACGCCTGCTCCGCCAGGCACACCTCGCCATAATACTTGTCCAGCCGCCCCGCCACAATCTTGTCGACAATCTTTTCGGGCTTGCCTGCAGCCGTGGCGGCAGCGGCACGTGCAGCCGGCGGCCAGCGGTCAGCGCGGTGTGCCTCGCCGCCCGGGCCGCAGCGGGCGCGGGGAGGCGCTGGCCAGCAGGGGGCGCGGGGGTGGCGACGGGGCAAAGCGGGGCGAAGCGGGAGCAGAGCGGCCTGCCGTGCTGCCTGCGCCCCTCGCCGCTGCCTACAGGAAGCAGCAGCCCACCGGTACACGCTGTTGCAGCTGTTTGCGCCCAGCAACACAGAGCCCTCCACCCAGCCCTCACCCGAACTGAGCGCCTGCTCTCGCAGCACCCGGCTCTCCGCCTCTAGCGCCTCTGCCGGCACGGCGGAGCGGTCCAGGAACCGGGGGGCCGCCGCCACCACCTGCATCGCCAGCTTGTGCGCCAGCTCCTGCGGGACAGGCGGTGACGGGAGGGGCGCGGCGGCTGCTCGAGGGCAGGGGCGTGGCGCCAACGGGCGCGGGGCGAGGGGTGGCGCGCAGCAGCACGCGGCAGCCTCGCACCAGCAGTTGACTGGCAGTGACTGCCGCCATGGCGTGCTACGTGCGGGCGGGGCGGCGTGCAGCGTGCAACGATCCGACATGCAACGGGCTCGAGGCCCAGGCGCCCACCCCGATCCATCCTGCCTGCCCACCTGCGCCTGCTCTGCGCCGGCGCCCGCCAGCGGCTGGGAGCTGGCCAGCGCCACCAGCCCCGCGATGCGCCCCGCCTCATCCCCCGCCTTCTGGTGCAGGTACGCGCCCACCAGGGCGCCGGGCGCGGCGAGGCGGAAGCCGCGCCGCAGCCGCACGTTCTCACGTACCGACGCCGCCACGGATGCCACCGCCTCCTCCAGCCTGCAGGCAGGCAGAGGGGCCAGGGGGGAAGGCGAGGCGTCTCTCGCGCCGCGATCAACCGCCAGGTCCCCCGCAGCCTGCCTGCCACCCATGCTGCAACAGCACCCACCGCACCACGCAGCTCGACAGCAAAGCGGCTGGCACGAGGCCCCGGCAGGCGGCGGGGTGCGCTCACGTGCCGCCGCCGGGCATGCGCGCCGCACGCAGCACCTCCCCGTCGAGCTCAGCGGCGCAGCCGGGGCGCGGCGCGCTGACGGCCAGCGCGGCTGCCGCCGCGGAGCCCACCAGAGCGCGGAACTGGCTGTTACGCGCCACAAAGTCGGTTTCGCTGTTGATCTGCACAATGGAGAGAGCGGGGTGGGAGTGGTGTGTGGGTAGGAGGCAGGGCAGGTTGTTGGGCAGCTGCAGGGATGGAGCACGCGCGAAGGCCTGCGGAGACGGCGAACACTATGCGCGAGCAGCGGTGGGGTCCGCACCTCGACTACCGCCACCACGCCATCACCCCGCGCCATCCCCACCAGCCCCTCTGCTGCGTGGCGAGCCGCCTTCTTGGTGGCCGCCGCCAGCCCTTTTCTGCGCAACTCACTCATGGCGGCATCTGCGTGGCGGAGGCGGCAGTGTGCGGCGGCAGGTGGGTGGCGGCGGCGGCGGCAGCCGGCGATGCGGCGGCAACGTGCAGCGTTTAATCGGAGGCTTCCGCACCCTTTCAGGGACTGGACTTGCCGCGATGAACTCACCAAGATCCCAGTTTGAGGTCTGGAGGGCCGCCTTCACGTCGTTCACGGGTGCGCCCGTCTGGCCTCTCAATTCTTTGATGAGCAGCAGTCGATCGGCGGGAGCAGAGAGCCATCTGCGCTGAACGGAAGGAACAACGCATGCCCGCCTCAGAGCACTGAGAAACAGCATGTCGCGAACTGTGTTAGGAGCAGTCAAGGGTTCTGAAGAGAAGAAGAACGTGGACCCTGGTTAACGTCACACTGCTGAATGTTGGGGAGGGCATGTGTTGCCCCCTGATGTGGCACCCTCCCGATTGGGCAACCCCCGCCCCCGCTCGCTCCTGGCAGCCCGCGCGGCGCTCCCCTCCCATACGTGAACTGACCCCATAGAGCCATGTTTGAGGGTTGAGCGGGGCGGAGCGGGGCTGCTTGCACACGTGATGGCATGCACGCTTCAACGCTCCCGCTGTCATCTCACCTCTCTAGCGTCAGAAATACAACTCTTACAAGCCAACCAACACGAACAGAGAGACCGAACAACAGAAATGAACAGGAAATATGAAGCCGCCACAGGCGGCAGCACCTTTCAGCGGAGACGGCAAAGCGTACAAGGCACACTTCTTCAATGGTTCTTGCAATTGCCACCCTTACCGGTTATACAGCCACAGTGCCGCCCACACCGCGCACCATTCTTCTTGCAGCTGCAGTTCCGGGTGCAGGCGCCGCGGCAGCCGCAGCGCACGGCTGCCTTGCCGCCGCCGGGCTGCGCCGCCATCGCCACATTGAGAGACACCACAGGCACTCCTCGCTGCGCCGTGCCGCTGAAGGTCAGCTCGCTGGCCAGGCTGGGTGGCGCCTTAGATAGCCTGCTGGCCTGATGCATACCCTCCACCACTCCAGCTCCGCTCCGCAGCCGGTACATGGTCACGCCAAAGGGCCGCTTGATCTCCACCACGCGGCACACGATGCGGTTGCGGCCCAGCTGCTTGCCCACTTTGCCGCGCTTCGGCGGCAGCAGCAGCACGTCAT